CTTGCATTCCGTGCGAGCGTCCTGAGTCTTTAGACTACCGAGACCTTATACTATTACTATTTTTTTACTATTTTTACTATTTTTTTCTATATCTTTTTTTCTAATTTTTAGAATTAGGAAAAGAGTAAATTGAACTAAGATTAAAATTAATCTTACATTGATGGAACTGGATTTAAGAAGTTGTAATTATAACTTTTAAAGATTAGAAAGTACACTATGGTGATGTTATTTTTTACTTTTCTATCACCTTATTTTTCTATTTAAAGTAGGAGTAAATTTCTTTAGACTGAATATTTACCTTAATTTTTATTCTGATATTTATCTTGAGATACGCCATACAATATTTATATACTCTTTTTATGATTTAGTCAAGAAGCAGCGCATCAAGGAATAGTACAAAGGCTATCATAAATTGCCAGTACAGCATGGCTGTGTTTAGTTTTACCTCTGGTGAACGGAAGCGAAGACCCAGAGGAGATTGGAAATCACAAGAGAGGTCAGCACAATTACGTCATGCCATGGAGGCTATAATACACTTGGAACTATATCCACGCTCTCAGATCGATGTCTTTGTAGAAGTTCTACAGGTTGATGGCAGTGATTATTGTGCATCCGTAAATGCTGCGACGCTTGCATTGATTGATGCTGGAATTCCAATCAAGGTTAATATCTAAAGAGACAATTTTGTTTGAAATATAGAATGTGAATCATACCATATACAAAATAAATGTCTAATTACAGAATTATGCCATCGGCTGTAGCGTAACTCTTGTTAACAAACCGTCAGTGGAAGATGAAGATAAAACGTTAGCCACAGGAGTATTAGATGCGAACTATGTAGAGGAGTGTTCACCAGGAGTTACTTTGTCTGTTGTTGCATTAGCAGGAACAAATAATGATATTGAAGTGGATGGAAATGGTTTGATAGTAGTAGCACATGGAGCAGGTCAGAGATTACATTTGTCATGTTTGGAAACACTCAAACAACGCGTGTTACAAGGTTGTCAGGATATAAAGACTATATTAGACCATGGCGTGAGGCATCATCTAACTGCAAATCTGTTGCCTTCATTTCTGCATAATTCACTCGACTAAGAAAAAGAGGGATAATTATATTTGACATTCTGTAAGAGTTTCATTTTTATGTAATTTAATTATCTTACTGTACATAAACCTAGCTCTATCTAGCTAATAAAAAATTACTTTCTTAAAAAAGTTTCACAATTTTATATCTCTCTTAAGTAGAAAAATATTTCACTATTTCTCTTTAATTAATATCTATTTTTATCAAATGTATATTCCTCGAAAAGCAGGATTAGATTATAGCACCAGGATATCGTTCCATGATCATTCCAACTCCCTGTAAAAAAAATATCAAAATTCAAAATTCAAAAAGGGAAAAGAAAATTTACAGTAAGATTATTAAAAGCTAAATAAAATTTTTATAAAAATTATTTGCATTAAATGTAACATAAATTATTTACTTGTCCGCCAGCAGCACAAGCCGCGATAAGTCCAAATTGTTGATCTTCTTTAATAAGTCGATTAGCAGTATGCGATGCTAATCGTACTCCAGTGGCAGCAAATGGATGACCGATCGACAAGGATCCTCCCCAAGCATTCCACTTATTTAGATCTGGTATACCAATTTTCGAACTCCTCTTTAAATACTTTTGAGCGAACAAATCAGAATCCATTGCTTTTAGATTAGCACAGATCATTCCTGCAAACGCTTCGTGTATCTCCCACACTCCTATATCTTTCGTAGTTAATTTTGCTTTATCCAGAATCTACAAGCGTGATTTATATAAATTATTTTATTCAGTTACATAAATAATATGTAATAATAATAATAGGATTAGAAAGTATTATATACTTTCGGAATTGCATATAATGGTCCTAGAAGTAGTTGATCAACTGGATCTTGAGACACATAAGTGAAGTTTCGCAAGTATGCCTTAGGTTTCAAGCCAAGTTGAAGAGCTTTCTCTTCGTTCATTATTAACGCCGCCGACGCACCATCGGTCAAGAAAGATGCGTTGGCTGCAGTAATTGTTCCATAAGGTTTAACAAACGCAGGTTTCAACTTTGCTAATTGTTCTTCCGTAGATACGCGAATACCATTGTCCCTATCGACAACTTTATCAACATTTGGAACTGCAATACAGAAAAATAAAGCAAGACGTATAAGTATGTAAGTTAAATATTGAATGATAAAATATGAATATATAAATTAAATATTGAAACATTAATTCACCTTTATAAGGGACTACGTCCGATAGCAGTCCCTGTTGCTGTGCTCGTGCGGCTAAAGTATGAGAACGCAATGCATAATCATCTTGTTCTTTGCGTGTAACACCAAATGCCGCTGCTAAACGATCTGCGCTGTGACCCATAGTTTCATTAGTTGAAAACTCTGCCACAGCTGGTAGCTACACAGACGTAAATTCTTGTAAGATATTTAAAAAATTAAAAGAAAAGAGTTCTTATTATTATTTTTACACATATTTATGAATATAATATTCATATATAAAATACATTTTCTTGAAAAAAAAAAAATAGAAAGATCATACATAAACTTACATCTGGTATGAAATAATTTGGTCTGATACTGGCCAAGAGAGCTAATTTATTTGGTAGAGTTTTTGCTTTATTGGCTTGCAGCATCAGAGATCTCATGGATCGATTAAGTCGAATTGGAATATCTGACATAAATTCTACTCCTCCTGCTATAATAGCGTCATAAACACCGCATGCGATTAAACCCATGCCAGTGGTAATAGCCTGATTGCTGCTAATGCATGCCATCGTTACTGTATGTGCAGGTGTGTGCTCACTATATCCTGCAGCTAGAGCAGCTTCTCTTATTGGAAGTTCGGACTTCTTGCATCACTGTGCCATAAACAATGTAATCAATTATTTCCTTGGGGAACCCAATCTTTTTTTGCAAGCTCCTATAAAATAGTAAAAAATAATTTACTTTGACAATCAATATTTGCAATTAAAAGATAAGATATAGAATATTGAACTTCTTAAAGCTATTTTGTAAAGAGATATTTGGAATTATATTTGTAATTATTATGATATATCAATATAATAATGACTTACACCAGCGAATGTGTTGCTAGATCATAAGCCATGAGCTTCTTATAGTCAGTTCCAGAAGGTAAAAATGGAGTCCGTACTCCATCAATATATACAATATTTTTTGAAGCATTATCACTTTTTGTAGAATATGCCTTATTTATAGAAATTCCAGAATAACGGATGAGAACTTCTGCTAAAATAGCAATTAAAAAAATATATATTACTGATGATAATAATAATGATACATAAAAATATGTTTATATTGATAATTTATTAAATGATATGGAGCAAATACCATGAAATATAAGGATACATTACTTAAAACTTATCAGAAAAAAATATAAATTTTGAATCTTGTAAAAGTATGTATTTATTATATAAAAATAACATAATTATATGTAATTATATATCGGAAAAAGAAAAGTCAAGTATAAATATACTATTTTTAATATCCACTCTCTATGGACTTTATACTTTGTGCTTTAAATATAATATTTAATTGATTATTTAAAAAATGACTATCCCATACCATAATTAACAATTCCCTGCCTTGCAACGAGGCAATTTTTCAGAAGAGGGAACATATTGAAGTACGATATTAACACGTTCTTTTTTTTAATTGTTTGATGTGTCACCGAAAACCTGTCACAATCAGAAAAATCATGTAGTGTTGGACTTTGACCTTCTTCTTCTTCTTCTAGTCAGTGGATTTCCGATTTCGACTTTGACCTCAATATACAATATATCTATCTGCGACACTGTTTATTTTCTCAGCTGTCTCATAGTATATGGAGATAGGTGAAGCATTGCGCATGATAGGGCAAGTAGGAAGCGAATTTCGACTAATCAAACGCTATTTCTTACTGCTATTTCTATTTCCGTTAGAGTACATAGATCTAAAGCAGTATCCTGATTGGCTCGTCGGCTTAAGTTCACGTCTTAAGGTTACAGAAATTACTGTTACAGAAATTTTGTCTGCGGCAACTCTAAAACCCAAGACACAATGCGAGGGAATAGCGATAGCGATAGAAATAACACGATTTCAACCTATCAAAAATTAGATACACTGAAATATATAGTTTCTAATAAGTTGCAATCGTTATTTCTATCGCTATCACTATTTCTTTGCATTGTGACTAGGGCTTAAGGCAAGCGCGCTTTTATCTCTAAATTTTATAGTATGCGTAACATAAATTATAGCATGTTAGCGTACTAATATCGTTGTAAGCGTGTTCTGAATATCGAAATGTGTACTTAATTAATCATTATGGACCGGTTTCATCAATGCCGATTCATCAAGCTTAATCGTGATTAACTGTCAACAGCATTTGGTCGATTCTAAACAGCAAACGCGATTGGTTAGTCAACGGCCGATTAAACTAACTGTCGTTGATAAAACTAGCCCTATGATACTATACCAATTTGGCAAATTATTCTTTAAATGTATTGCTAAAATTAAAATAATTTAATAGAAAGTTACTAGTTAATATGTGTATCAAGTGCACGATGTAAATTAGATACCAATAGAAGAAATAAGGAATTAGGAATAAAGGAAAAACGATTCTAACCTATCAGAAATATCGGAATACACAGTTTCTGATAGATTGAAATTGTTTATTCTTTATTCCTAATTCCTTATTCCTTCTATTGTACGCTCTAAGGCCGAGTTCACACCTTGACGGAAAAATGGAAAGAGAAAAGCGAAAGCCAATCAGAACTCGTGGAAAAACAGAAGCAGACAAGCGAAATGTACCACCTACTACTACTGTGAGTTCCGATTGGTTTCCGCTTTTCCGCTTTCTGTTTTTCCATCAAGATGTGAACCCGGCCTAACATTAATTGAATTTTAAGAATGTTTCAGTTCTGTTTCTGTCATTTATATTCATAAACGAAAAAGAAGAAACAACGAATTGATTGAAATTTAATGTTAACCTAAAATTAATATTAAAATAAGTAAAAACCGATAGCAGTATCGGCAAAAATTGACGAATAATATTCTCTGTATTATGTTATATAACCTCTGTGGAATAGTTGGAAAGGTTACTTTCTTCTTAGTTCTCAGTAATTACTAGCTATCATATGATATTTGAAAATTAAATTGCAAAAATTATTAGTTTTTTGAAAGGGGATGATATTTAACAGGAATCCATTCAGGCATATACAGAATATTGCCAGATAAAAGCTGTTCAGTTCAAAATCTCAAGTGAAGTAGTGGAATATTGATTTCTTTCATTCAACTTGATTATGTTATTATAGTTTCTTTTGACAATAAAATGCTAAATCAACAACATCCTCTGTTGAACACTATAGACTCGTATATAGAGCCGCTTTTGAAACGCGTTTTACAAACTAAAAGGCTTGGTAAGTTTTATTATTAATTTTTCTTTCATTTGCTTTTTATAATAAAATTAATATTTTTGTTATGGATATATTACATTTTTTAAAGGTGTTTCTTATGGTCCGATAAAATTGGATTCAGTATCATCGAGTTGCAATAAGAACAAAAATGATTGTTTCAAATTATTGATTCCCTATGCTGGGGAGCACCTTATGTGGAATGTGTTATTTGATTCGCAATGTCCAGAAATGGGTCCGGATTTCATATTCAATGATCAAACTTTTTTAATGGATCCAGATATTGATATTTTATCTACTTGGGTACCTAGTCTTGTTAAATGGAATCCTAACAATACTGATGCATTGCTCAATGTACTAATGGAGTTGTTATTGTATTACAAGGAACATCAGGTAAGCAATAATTTTACATATATATTTTTGTTGATTAATATTTATAAAATGCATATTCCCTAATGAATTTGAGAGATGTATAATATATAATATATGTATAATATTTTATAAGAATTGTAATTTAAGATTAGACTGATAAGAATAAATATAATTAAGAGTAATCCTATTTTTAGATCAAAGCAGATCTTAATTCTTAAATATTTTGGTGTGAACTTAAATATATGTCCAATTTTGCAAACTGCGTGCTGAAATCTTTTTCATTTTTAAGACACAATCATGAATAGAATTAGAATAATAATATCACATATTAAATTGACAAACAATTTCTATATTTTTGATGCTAATAAGTATTTTACAAGAATATTAATAATTAAATGTTAGTAAGACTTAAAAACTGCAAATAATTTTATTGGGCAAAATATTATTTTGTTTACATTTTATAGGTTACTTAAAATATAGATTTATCATATTTATGTATATGAAGCTAAAGATTCTATTTTTATTTCCAGATACAGTTACTTGGAAAACAGGGAGATCGTTTACAACTTGAATACAGTACACTTGTTGGAGAAACAGAGATATGTAAAGAAGATATAGAAGTGATGTTGTTACTAGGATTGAAGCCTATGGAAGCACGATTTTTAATTCGCATATCTATGGATTATACACGATTACCTCCACGTATAAATAAGTCGCAAAATGATGAAGCAATGCTTCTAGTTACATTTTATGGTCCAGATTGGAATCGTATTTCGCCGCAACTTTATTTATCTAAGACCTTGGAGGACGCTATCGGTAGGCCGGAATCTTTACACATTCCACCATTACCGCCTAACAAATATCTAATGGATTATGTTCCCGAAGTAATAAAATTCATGGAAGAGAAAGTATGTAATTTCTTATACATTTTATAAAATTATTAGGTGTTGGAATTAATTCGTAGCGTTTTTTAATGAAAGAATGTTATTTATTTCACATGAGCATTAAAAAATACATTAATGAAAGTACTTCCCATCACTTGTAAAACGCTACGAATTAATTCCAACACCTAATACAATTTACAAAAAATATTTATATGTACTCTCTGTTGCAGATAAACAGTGCAGTTCAGTGTTTTGAAAACAGAAAAGAGTTTATCGTGTTTTTACTTGTATTACAGCGCGGTAGCATAGTAGAATATGATGCTATAGAGTTTAATTGGATTATTATTCTGTTAGAACACCGAGACTTTCATTTTCTCATACACTTTAATCTTCCATCAATATTCCCGAAAGAAAAACCACAAATTACATTACAATCGGTATATCATATGACATCACAAGGTATTTTATACAGAGAAGTATTGGATGATGCACCATATAGTCCTAGATGGCCAATGAAATTGATGGTTGACAAATTGTTAACGTACATAATAGAAAATGCTGTTCAAAAGTTTCAGGCGAACTCTGTCAAAAATAATCGTTTTTAATAATTTATTCTGAAAAAAAGTTATATTTTATTATAAAGAATGTTTAATAGTTGCAATTGAAATAAAGACTATTTCGTTCCAATGTAATAAACATTGATATGTTTTTATGTGTTCTTTTTTCTAGTTTTGGACAGTTATATTTTTCAGCTCAGATAATCTTTTTTTACAAAGTTAACACGAACTTAATGAATGAATTTGGACAAATCATTCCACGAACGTGGAAATATACCAAACATTTCGAAATTAGATATTCAAAGAAATACTAACACGAATGCTATTATTATTATGGCAATTACTTAATTTAAAAAGAAAATTATTTAAAAGCAGTAAGTTTTAAAGTAAAAGTATTATATAAAACGTTCATATAGTAAGAGTTCATAGCATTATTTTTCATATTTATATCATATATATTAAAAAAAAATATTTTTTTTTAATTTGGCAATTATATCATTTGATAGAACAAGGTGTCAGCTTTAAGAATCTTTTTAAATTTCGATACACATGGATGATTTTTAATGAAGTTATGAGCAATCAAAGTCAAATATTCCTTTTATTTAATTCATGATAACTCATTAAAAAAAAATGATTTTATAGGAAAAATTTTAAGCCTTTATATTAGAAAGTTAAAATTTTCTGCAAATTTTTTTTTAAGAAGATATTGTAAAAGCATAAAACATATATTAATATTTATACTTTAAAACATATTGAAGTATGTACAATACATACATATGAAAATTGTGTTCATAATATTGGCTACGTTTAGCAGCTTTGCAACTGTTGTAAAATTCCTTGTTAATTCCTGATTAATCTTGTCCTTAGTTCCTTATTGGATCTAAATATATAAATCAATCATATTAAAGAATAGTACAAGAGTTACAAAGCTGTTTTTTCTGCTGAACATAACCATTCTGTTTTTATTGAGTAACACATTTTTATAGATTATTTATTATTTGTTATTATTTTTATTGTTATGAACAAAAATTTTAAGAATAATAAATATCTAAATTTTTTTATGCAAGTACTTTAAGTATTAAAAATACTTTATGCAAAGTTTCATTGAGATCCACTAATTAGTTTATAATTATAAATATTTTGTTTATTTACTGGACAACTAATGTCCGCATCTCAATGTAACTTTACATAAATATTCTTAAATTCATAAGTACTTATAAATAATTGAGATTTTTATCATTACTTTTATAATATATTTCTATTAAAGCACAAATTTAAAAAATATTATTTATGAAATAACTTTTGATCTAGATGATAATAAACTGTCTCTAATTTTTTTGTATTACTTTTAAATGTAATTTAAAATAATTAGTAATTTAAAACCTTAAAGACACGTAACAGGCTCACAAAGTGAGAAATAAATTTCCTACTTTGTCCAATTCGTAATTTTTCTATACATATAACAATTTACTAAACTCACAGAAACTCAAAAAGATATAGTAATCTTTCGAAAATAGAGATTTAGGTTTTCAAATCCTTTTTTTAAATTTTATTTATCTTTAACGAAATATTTGAATTGAAATTTGTAACGCTACAAACTTTTGATCTAAAATTCAATTCAATCCAACATTTCCGGAAAAGAGAAACGCTGATTGGCCGATGCGGAAACGTATTATTCCCTAGCATCACCGCGTCTTAAGTATAGGAAATATGAATTTTTCCCCTGCGCTGTTGGCAGCGCTAGATACGTGCGCAGCGCAAGGAGCGTGCGCAAAGCGAAACCATCTCAAAAGTCCGGCCGCCGTCACCTGTCTCACGGCTTGAGGTAAGTGCTTGCGTCTTCATACCGTTTTTTAAGGGAAACTTTGCGGAATTGCGGCATGTACGCGGTCGCGGTGACGCGTCACGTGAGATTGTCGCTGAATACGGGAGTGTCACGTGTCAATACGTGCCGTAAGACTGGCAAATATGTTCGCGGCGGCGGCGGTCTCGAAATCTCGGATCACCGTCGCGATTGCCTTCACGTTGCTTGTTTCGCCGTGGCAACTTCACGCGATACACTACTATCGCTGCGACTTCACGACGGTCGTCGCGTACCGCTTTCCTCCTGTCACACGAAGTTCGCCGTAAACGAATTGTTTCGCGTTTTCTCTCGCGGACGAAAGCTGCGATGCAGCTCTCCCGTTCGTGCCGACTGTCGCGTCGATTTTTCCACGATATCGTCACGTTTGTTGCATCGCGCGGCATTTGGTGCGTCCCGCGTTCGAATGCTGGGATTTTATTTGTTTGTAATATAATCACACATCATGTTGTATCTCGTGCCGCGCGTAAGCGTCGCGAGTATCACCTGTCATGGCGCGTGCCGCCGTCACTGCCGCCGTTATCACACGGGCTTGCTTTCAGTCATGGCAATTTTGCAGTTTGTCTTCAATTGTGCTCTCTGATAGTATTTATCCTCCTATAAATCTGCCTTTCCTTCCCGAGGAAGGAACGACGTTTGAAAGTTTCGCGTAGATTCATTTCATTGTGCGAAATAAAAATTGCAATTTCCAGTATTTACAGCTAAAAAGAACAAACTTCGTCTCATCTGGATGTCAATCTTAACGTAACTTAACCCAACCTGACCCTAACCTGCTTAACTATATATACGCTACGCGCGCAGCATGCTCGGCAGCCGCGCAAAGTGAATCGTCAAAATCATCTCTCCTCGGGTTGTTTGATTTTTCAGATTTGTTTCCCCCTCTCCCTTTATTTCATGAAATTTACTTGGACAAACCGCGACTCTTCCGACTGTCACGTATCAGCTCGATAATTTTGCCGGATGGCTTGATTTCATTTGGATATTAATTCGTTTCGATTGACATGTTTGGAGATTAATCGTATTCTATCTTCTGTGGAGATTTTTAGATCCAAGACGAAATGAAATTATCGATGTTTACAAGCAAGCAAGTTAACGTCGACGTGTTGACGATCATGTGAGGAGGGGAGGGGGGAGAGGGAGAGGGAGAGGGTGACCACGATGGCGGCCGCCACGCGCCATGTCGCAACCACGCTCTTGCACGTCATCTTGCGCATTCCCTTAGCCCTCTTTCGGCGTCCTGTTGCGCGTCGTCCATCGTGTGCAATGAGGGGAAAGCGTATTAACATTTTTTTTCTTGTACATGCACAGACAAACGTTACGCCAACGGCCCTTGTCGCGTCAGATTTAACGATTCGCGAAGTGTTCCCTTATAGAAATTTAATACTGGTAATTTAGTACTGGTCAATTAATCACTTATTAAAAATATTGCTAACAGTATTTTTAATACTGAAAATAAGTGATTAATTGGCAAATATTACTATTAGTATTAAATTTTTATAAGGCTTCTAGAAGGATTACAAGATACGTACTGACATCAGTCTTGTTTAAATAGAAAACTGCAAATTAAATGTATCGTCGATTTTGTTTAAAAACATCCGAACTTGCAGATTTGATCTTAATTTAATCGGAATAAAAGAACTGTTGATTTTGTATTTTTTATGATTTCTTGATTTATGATGGTTCTGAAAATAAACACATCTGAATAAATCAGATTCAGAGACCATTGAACTTTATTATAATTTATAATTTTTTTCGATTGAATTAAAATGATAAGATTGAGTTTTCCTTTATGTGTGCACGCGTGCCCTTTATGGAATGTAATGCTATTCTTTTCAGAAATATGTCCCTCAAAATAAGAAACTCAATGTGAACCAACAATATTTGTGTAATATATTATATATATACATAACAATACATAAATAAATTATACATTTCGACCCTGTTTTTGGGTTATTCTCGGTATAATGAAAAAGATAAATAGATATTTTGTTTACAGTAATTCTTGTCTTCTAAATTTTATTTTATATTTCTAGTTCTAATTTCCTGTATGGAAAGAGAAAGAAAATTGCGGATATTTCGCAAGTCGTCAAGTGTCGCAATTCTCCCAAATAATTAATAATTACAAATATAAAGGATCGACCTTGATACACATGTGGACACACTTTGAGAGTTTCATTCTTCATAAACGTTACAACCTGAACTAAAACTTCGGCGAATTGATTCGTGAATCGAAAGAATTTTCCAAGGTTGATGCGATACAAGGGCCTGTAATACAACACATAACAGAACACAAATCAACAAAGGCAAATCGGCAAAAGCAAAAGAATCAGAAAGAGATGAGCGCAATGTAGAAAACAGCGGTGGCGTCGACAAAACACAGATGGGCTAAAAATAGCACAAAGCACAAAACAGAGTGCAACGTGCGGATTATTATGCGAGGCGAGGCGCGTTCTCGAAATAAAGCTGTCTCTTTTTTTATTTTTTTAAATATATTTGCACGAATCCTATATTTCTCCCCGAGAGAAATTTGTCGTGTAACAAAAACTTCAAACTCGAAGATTCACGAAACTTGGATTCTCGTGGAATTGTCTGCGATACAAGAAGCGTCGTATAATGAATATCGATGCAATAAATGGAATTAATGGAATTAAACTGGGCCGTCATATTGAAGAATTAAAAAATTAATACGTCATTGTTTTAAATAAATGTAACAGCCAACTGGAAAACATAATTATGAATTTGAGATTAGGGAGTAAACAACCGATAGAATGTAGCTATCAATTATTAGCTCTCGCGTTTGTCTTATCTTTCAATGAGATATGTTGCAATCGTATTAATTGCATCGGTACCACTTGGCCTTCGAGAAATCGATGTTAACCTTGCTTAACGATCGAAAATACATGGAAGACGAATGTGCATTTTTTTCTCATTGTTAAAGCGAGATTGAATTTATACATTTTTATTTGCTGTTTTTTCTCAGTCTTTTCTAACAGACAAATTGGTATTTTTGTAGACCTGAAATTAATTCTATCAAGATTTTTTAAGGAGAACTTTAGATTAATAACGAATAAAGTTATTTGTACTTGTAAAAAATTGACATCAATGAAACCACATTTTAAAGATTCATATATATTGGAAAGAAATTTGATTATAAGAAATAAATTATTCCATTACACTTGCAGGGTGTTCCCTCGATGCTCTAACCTTCTTGTTCGAAAGTGTTTCGTTAGCGAGGGATACATGCATGTGAACGAGTGCACGTGCACGTAGTCGAGAGCCGAAGGAAAACGAGTTTTCAGCGAGTGCATAACACCGTCTCTCTTGCTCGCTCGTTGTCAGCCAATCGAGATCACGGATTCAGGCACAACCTCCGTTCGGCCTCCATGTCCATTGGCTGACCGCTCGGTGACGTTGTTGACCCGCTTTTGAAATTCGGTAAACAAGATCTCGCGAGAGCCAGAAAATTGCCTGACGAATATCTACATGAGACGAATAAGAATGAACAAATTACTTTGCACAGCCAAAAATGACTAAGAAAATGTTTCTGTATGTCACGTAATCCGATCATCGATACTTCTCTCAAATGACGATGCTGGAAGACTTCTGACAGAAAGTCTATTCGAAAGAAATATAGTAACTGCTGAATTGTTAATATAAATACAGATTTTAAATAAAACGTTCACGTGTTTAATGATTATTTATTAGTTTCCAGGTGCATAATATTAGTTAAATTGATATTTACGATGGACCAAACGTTTCAAATTATTAGGAGGGACACACCAAATTTTAACTTTTCATTCCACTTTACAATGCGTCCCAAATTTTGCCCCAAATTAAGGACATGATTATGAATTGTCTCTCTTTTAAATATGAAAATAATAAGAAACATATCCTAAAAAGTTGGTCACTGAAATTTATGATGAAACATTTATAATGAACCAAGATTCTTTCCAAATTTGCATCCACTTCAAGTGACGTTTGACACACAGAAATGATAACTTTATTTTATTAAGGTGGTTCTTTATTATTTCGAATTACTATAAAAATGTCTAATTTTTTGATGAAATTGAAGTAACCGAAATTTACATGCAAAATTCTACGGTAGATTAACGATGAAATAAGAGAAAAAAAAATGTTAAAAATGTAACCTTCACGTATAACTTATGGTAAATTCGTACTACACTGGATCAGTGCATATTAAAAGCTGCTTTATATAAAATATTTCAATGCAATGATACAATATAATCAACTTTGACAATGAAATGATACATATATTTTGTTAAATAATGTGACAATATTATTAGTAGACAGTTAATTGTTTAAAATATTTATATACTTTTACATTTACCTTAGCTAATGTCATGTAAAACAGCTTTTAGTATGCATTATCTAGTGTAGTGACAGATAAGGCTCGCAAACGCTTCTTTGATTACTTGCAAATCTTACCATAGATTTTTTTCAAAAATAAGATTATAATAGTTTCAAAAATTATCACAAAAAATAGGTCAACGTTCTAGAAAGATATTTACGTGTGCATGAACTTGCATATAAATTTAACCTCGAAAAGTATTATAAATATAATCTCATCTTATTTTCGTTCGAAGATTCAGCTCTTGATTTATTATCATATGTTCCATATTATTTCATTAAGATATGCACATAGTTTTAATATTTTATTCAAATTATGCAGACATTTTGGGTGGGCACTCCAAATTTTCGATACTAAAGAACTACCTTAAATTAATTAAGCTTCAATCGCAGCTTGTGAACGAAGTAAAGTTTGCCTCATGCGAGGATTATTATGATAAATGAAACCAACGAATTTTGAATGAAATTTACGTGTCTAATGACAATACTATATTAGATTCTAGAAGCCTGATATTAGATAAATCGATTAATTTATTTACAATGAAACATGAACAAGAAAAATTCCTTCCAGATTTGCATTCAATTAAACACTGTGAAAACGTGTAAAGTGAAGTTGGTAGAAGAAAAGATAACTTCATTTTATCAAATTAAACGCACTTCAATCGCGTGGCTTGAACGAAATGAAGTTTGTCTCATTCGAGGGAATCATCGTGATGAACCAAGTGAGACCATTCAGAATGAGGAAGCGATACAGGAGGGAGGGGGAAAAGGGAAGAGAAGAAGAGAGAATTCGGCGCTCGCGCGCGGAGAGCGAAGTTAAACGAAGTTCGACTCGCGCATGTGCATCGAAGAGGACTACATACGGGGGAAGGATGAGAAGATGTTTGACGACGAAACACCGAGCACGCGACAGAAAATCGGGGGGAGGGAGAAGGTATGCGCATGCGCACGCCGCTTAGTGACGCTTCCCGGCGCGCGCGTAGAGCGTAAAGTAGCGTAGCCACGCTTCTTGCACATCGCCGTACGCGCGTCACGTCTGGTCCGAACCGTCTGAACATTGTCGCGAACGAGCGCCGCCGCGATTCCTGCGATTCCTTTCAAGAACGCGCGCGCGCGCGAAGATTGCCGTGATCAAAATCGCGAATAATCGGGAAAGGAGCGGGCATTCAAGTCAGTTCGAGCGAACTCTGTCGAAGGAGAAAGAGTGGGAGACCGGATTTTCTCTTCCATTTTGAAAGAACAAGCGGTTTGTGCCTGATTATCAGCGTTATTCTGACATCTCGGTCGATAGTGCTTCCTTTTTCTTTTGTTTTGGTTTCGACACCTGCGGTGTCGGCTCTGAGAAACCGGAGGATCAAGGAACGCCGTGTCCCGCAGGGACGAGATCCATTTTGGAAAGGAGGCAAACGGTCGAATTGGAAACGGCGTCATTTTTGATGCATTTGACGACAGTGCCTTTCACTCCGGACATTCGTCGTGTTAATTGAGAAAAAAAGGACGTTAAAAAAGTGAAGAAGAGTCGCTGAAAGAGAGAAAGAGAGAGTCTCAATTTCGTAAAAAAAAAATAAAATCATCCATCACTGCTTTTTAATATATTTGGCAACAGTGTTTTTCGTCGTAGCTTCCATTAATATTTCGGGATCTTCGAATCTCGATTCTTGTGATTCTTCGACAAAACATGAAGGTGATAGCGAACGTGCTCGATAAAATCAGCGATCATCGTGACATATATTTGATGTTACTTTCACGACAACCGTATTTTTTGAACACCTTATCTACATCTGTGTTACTTTGTGAACTTCAGGCATGTCTATTTCCAAGTATTAATCCTGTGGTCCGTTTTCTGTTCCTGCACTAGACTTTTCTAGAATTCTTTCTCGCTTTCAACAAATATCAAACATATATCTATCTCACTTTAAGTTTCAAAAATGTACACTAGTTCAGCCACAGAAAATAGACCTTTAATTTAGCATACCGCGCAACTTCATGACATTCATCTGACATATAAAATATGTTACAATCCTATTAATATTTTACGAGAAATTTTGATTTTTATGAAGACCTATGTATATCTTCTAAACGTTCTTTCATCTTCATACATTTTATAATTTTATGTAATTTGTCGAATACCATTTGTCACATACTTCAAGTATGTCCATCTTAACTTTACATTTACTGCAATTTCATGGCATCCATGTTATACCGCGTGATATTTTCCCATAGCGATATTTCACGTTTAAAAATTACGTTCAACTCGATTTCCAAGATTCGCACAACTTCTTTATTTTAAAATTATTTTTAATTTGTTAAAATATTTTTGTTCTATTTGTAAAATTTATATAAATTATTTCTGTGAATTATTTTACACTTTACACATATATCTTAATTTTCGTATGTTTAAAATTTTTTTGTATTAAATATTTTGAGTCTCGAAAATTTTTACAATTTATGCAGTTTTTAATATAATTTTTATGCAATTATGAAAGTTGTGTTGCTTAATAATACGTGCACATTGTAGCTACAGAATAATAAAATTATAAAATGACAAATGCAATTATTTTTATATATGAAATATAAAAAAACATAAAATTATAAAGATGTAAATTTTATAAATTTCTATTAATACGAAATTTTGAAATTTATAACATAAACCTATTTATTAAATTACAGAAACGATAGTGACGTACACAGTGAGCAGAATGTTCAGTTTTCATAAACCAAAGGTGTATCGATCTAGTACAGGCTGCTGCATTTGCAAAGCTAAATCTAGCAGGTAAAAATATATCTAGATATTTACATATGTGTATATATCTCTTATATATATATATATATATCGTATAATATTTAATTCTTATTTTAAATTAATATTATATTATTTTAAGTTAAATTAATATTACATTGTATATTGACATTAAAATTTTAATGATATAAATGTTATTTAGTAAGAGTTAATGATATTAATTCATAACATATTGATGACATCGCACATATTTTGTTATATAGATGTATATACAATTATGTTATATTTTTTATAAATGTTTTAATAAATGTTTATAAATCTTTTTACAGTTCGAGATTCACAGATAGTAAAAAGTATGAGGATGATTTTATGCTATGTTTTCAACTTGATGAGAGGCGTAGCGGAGAAATATGTAATGCATGTGTGCTTCTAGTAAAAAGATTTAAGAAGTTGCCTCCAGGAAATGATCGCAATTGGAGACATGTTAGTATCTGTTGAGTGATAATCTTATTTATATTATTTGAATTTTAATCTTGCTAATATAATATAAATATCATTTTTTTATTAAATTATATTCCGATTCTTCTGATTGAATTTTGATTCTTGGTCTTAATTACAATTGAAATAAATATTTATCTTTATAAGAGAAAGAAAGAAAGAGTTATAGACTTCTTTTGTAACCATTTCAAGATATCAAATGTTTGGCTTGATAGGTGACTGCTGTAACACTAAAATATCCAACTTATTTGATATTTTTAATTATACTATGTTATCATTAAATTTAAATTATAAATTTTTTTTATAGGTTGTGGATGCACGTGCTGGTCCTGGTATTAAGTCACTAACAAAATTTAAAGCAAAAAATAAAAGAAAAGTTAAAGATATATCTGACAAACTCGCTAAGAAGAAACATGTCTATGTAAAAACAGAAACTGATCGAGAACAAAGCCCATCAATGAGCGATGATTTAATCGGTTGGTTAAACTGAATATAAAATTTTATTAATCTAATATATATGGTTCAACGTTTGGAAAACAATATAAAAATTAAAAGATAGAAATAGAAATTGGGATATCTTAATAATATGTTATCAATATTTAATAATTGTATTAAAATTCTCTTTTTTTTTTATATTGTAGAAGATTATACATTGGCAGATAGTAAAGCTTCGAGCAGATCGGAAAGCATCTCGGATGATGACGATGATATTGGCTCTAATGACAAACAATTAGATCTCGTTCAAGATCAGGATATGAATGAAGATAATGATTTTTTAGATTTATCTTATTATAAAAGGTAATATGAAAAAAATTTCATAAATCCTAAGAATTTTGAAAATTAACTATAAGAACTAAGAATTCTTTACAAAAATTAAGTATTTTAAATAAATTTAAAAAATTTTGTAGGAAAACATTTTATAAGATCTAAAAATTAGAGATGACTCAATAGCTACTTCTATTACATATTTGTATATTTCTCAATTTTTATGTTTACTATGAATATATATTTCTTTCATTGAAGATACCTTAAGTATTTTTCATATTGTACATATTTTAATTTGCATTTAATATATGATATTTCTTTTGTTTTGCTCAGAGAAATTATTTGCTGTGGCAGCATTTTCAGAGGTGCCAATGGTGAGATTATAATGTATCCATCTAGCCTGAAACCTTGCGTAAATCTTGCCAGGCGGCAACTTCTTTCTTCTTTAACAGTCGCCAGTCCCACTCATAGTTCTGCATCCACCAGTCCTATTCATAGCGTTGAATTGCCATCATCAAGTTCAGAAACAAGTTCAAAACAAACAAAGACAGATAGCGACTCTTCATCCGATTCTGGTTACGATGAATCCTCCAATCAGGGTGAGAGCAAAATAGCGAAGAATGTTCAAGTTCAGGCAGATGTGAAAATGATAGAGGAAACTGTGAGACCTATAGAACTCGATCAGTTATCGAGTTGCAAAACCTTGCAATCCGTCACTGTTACTAATCAGTCACTTCAATCGGTCTCCAATTAATGTCGGCCCTTTATAGAGGGTTAATTTATTCCTTTACTTATGACACACACGCATAAATATGTACATATGTATACAGGGTGTCTTAATATAATTAGATAATTTTTTAATTGCAATGTTCAATAGAATTTTCAATATAACGAACTTTCCTTTGGCGAGAATTTCAAATTTTAAATCTTTATTTCAAATTTTATATTTCTACAATATAACACAAAGCAAACTTTTGACATTTGATTTTTGCAATATTTACTTCAATTCTTTTAAATCTTAAAATATCTTTTGAGTTTCAATTTAGAGACGATTTTTCCTCGTGGAGAATATTCGAATTTTAATTCTGTAATAGAGTTTTTAAACTCCTGCTTTACGTATTGTTTAAATTATTTTTCATATATTATTACATAAATTAATACATGAGGATAATTAAATAATACAAAAACATTACCTTAGAAAAAAATTTTTATTAAAGATTTTATGGGAAATGTTTTATATAGTGAAAATATAAAAGGAATACTTAATGATGATGAAAGTTTTTCTCTTGAAAGTGAAACCGTTCATCAAAATATGTTCAAAACGTCCCTAAAAATCCATACAATTTCTTTTTATTGAAAATATTATTTTTGAAATTAGTACATCTCGCACAAGATACAGTAATTTATTGCAGTATAACTGTCACCCTGTATATACGAATAGGTATAAGCTGAAGTTAATTAAGTGCACTATCCCCGGGCAGCAAAGTGGCTCTGAAAGGTTTCAAACCTTCACCTTGAAGATTTAAATACCATTTGGATGCAATTTATTATGCTAAGAATAATTAGAATTAATCATAGCGATGGACTGACGTAAACCGCCATTTCTCGAGCCGATAATTTTTAAGTCTTATATTAAGCAATATAAACACACATTAAAGTTCTGTGATGATATTGTAAAGTAAGAGACGCTCAGATTTCTTATATCGAACAGCGGTCCGAGATGGCGGTTTATGTACTCGCTTTTCTAACACGTCAAGTGCCACCGCTTAAGGGGAGATACATGTAGGGTGTGCTGAAACAACCAAAGATAGTGTCAAAAAAGTCATAATAAATTAATGAAACATCAATACTTTTATAAAATTTTCTAATTGAAATCAGATATATTAAATAGTTACATGTTAAATATCTGAAACTTTTTATGGAACGTTCTATAAATTTTTAAAGTTTTAATATTCTTAGACAAAAAAGCAAAATTTCATGTGTAACGATTTAGTAGTTGATTCAATTACAAAGGTGCATTGAATACAAAATTAAGATTTTAACACTTTTATCGAGAGAAAAAACAATTTACAAAAAAAAAAGATTTTTTTGAAGTGATATCTAATGGTTGTTGCGAGACACCTTGTATAAGTTCCAAGCTGCCAATCGATTCTCGTCTGGGTCCAAGAAAAAAAAGAGAAAGCAAGAAAGATGAAAGCGGGAATTTCTTGCATTTTCTTCCTGATCATGCTCCATGACGTAAATTAATTAGTAGTAGTCACACCGACGACCCAGGACGATAGCAATAAAGAAATGCAAACAATTGTACAGCGGGACTATGGATAAAGTCTGTTTTTTAGTTTGTATTTAGACAGTATTAATAGAAAAATGAAAGATCTAGATAGAAGAATTGAAAGTGGCAATCAGATTGGCAAACTGGACCAGCGAATCTTTATTTACAGATAATTTTAGAGAATATGATACTTATATACAGAACCATTTCTATAGAAAGAGAGAACAAGGAAGAGAGGGAAGAATAAATAAGTAAAAACTGTTAGTTCCTAGCTAACAAAGAGATGGGCATACTTCGATTGTACGTTTAGCGTAAAGTTTGTTTAATTCTCATTTTATATGGGACGTTCACAATTGATCGCGACTGTTTTCATGTTAATGGATCTCTTATCAATTTGGAATCGGATTTTTCTGTAATGAAAGTAAAAAACCGACTCCAAATCAATTGTAAAATTTATAAAAAATAAAATATTCTGCTAGTGTTTGAGCCCATAAAAATCGAGGAGTATAAGTTTTAAAGATAGTCGGAAATGGTTGTTTGATACAAGTTGTTTAATCTTTTTCGACTATATTCTCTTTAGCGCTAAGTACAAGAAGAAAAAACGGGCTAAAAAGATGTACAAGCTGAGTACCTGCTGAGAACAAACCGCAACTGTCATGGTAGGGTTGTTTTCAGGATTTTTTCCGTTCTTACAAAAAAAAAGAGAAGAAAACAAAATTCGTGTAGAATTCGAAAAAAAAGAACGATTAACTTAAGATTCATTAAAAGCAGGATTTATGTATCCGTGGAACTGAGAATCTGCAATGTTAAAGATCAATTAAACCGACCGTGAATCCGTAAATTCCAATATGTATCAAAGATTCTATAGAATCATTTTTAAAAATATGTGATACGCATATTTGATATTATAAAACAATACTTAAGAATGTAGTATATTTTTGTTATCTTTATGTAAAGATCCACGGATTTATAAATCATTATCGAAAAAGGAAGGCAAACGTAATGACTTGACTTAAAAGTTGGATTTGACATAATTAAAAAGTATGAGATGTGCAATAGATATTGTCGAACCCATCCAGCGCTAAGCGAGTCATTATCTTCTATATTATTCAATGAGACTCGAAATCTAGAATTGTAAAATTCTTTCGAGTATGATAATCAAAATTATTTAAATTTAGAGGTTACTATTGGTGAACCCAAAAGACTAATCTCATTTTGAATTTAATAAACAAATAAAGATCAGAATATTAAAAAAAAATCAAATAAAATTTAATAAAATTAAATGAAATTATATATTGAGATTTAAATTATTAAATTATGAAAATAGAAAAAAGCTCGTTTAAATTGCCCATCGGACTTGCGAAAGCTCATCGACAATCGTATAATATCGTAACAGGAAGTGATAACAGTTTTTTCATAATCAAACATCGAAAAGTCCGATCTATTAAAGGATAAAGCTAACTGTCTTTTCCCGCGATAGATCACATTTGTACATTTCTTGTATGATCTCTATCATTTCTCTTTATTGTGAGATATACAATACTGATAATTATTATTATTATATTCTCTTATTATGATTTATCGTAGTTAATATATACGATGATCGAAGCTGGATGATTAAATAGAAAGAAAAAGTATATAATACAAATTTATATTTAAATTGAATTTAGTATTAAATATTTGTTAAATATTTAAATCTAAATTACTATTTGAATTAAATTTAGCATTTAATGTATTTATGAAACTAAAAAACTCGACACAAAACTCAGAAAACGAGTACTATGATTCCGTCTAGGTTACAAAACATAGTTTCTCTTATTTATTTATTTCATAAGTCGACTTATCTTCATTATTAAACATAATATTCCTTTTTTATGTAAATTTATACATGTACATCATATGCATATATATTTTTATATGGATCAGTGATCTTTACTTCGTGATTTTTTTTACACTGCCAGAAAATAAATGTAGTTATCGATGAAATAACGGGAATATAATGACTGGCAATATATCGTGAAAATTATTTATTTCTCATGTCCTTAAGTGATCAGTTAGTATCAATTATTAGCTATTAAATTGGTATTAATTAATACTTTTAAACATCATTAACATATTGATGATACCAATATTAATTAATTGATATCAATTGTTAGTTAATTTTTTAAATATTCAAGCAAATTTTATCAACGATATTAAATTTAAAGAAATTGCAAAATGTTTTCACATTCAAATGTGGTGTGATAAATGGCGTATCAATATAACAAAAATATTTGAATATATTTAGGAAAATACTCCAGTTTTAAAAAAATGGAGAAAAATGATTAAATTGTAAATTCAAATTTTATTTATCAGAGGATATATATATATAAAGATATATGATATTATATAAATATACAAGTGCATGAAACAAGTACACAAAAATTTACAATAGAACATAAGATATGATACAGGAAAAGAAATACAAAACACAAATGATATAAAAATACAATAAAACTAAAAATGTATATATCGCGGAGACAACTGTAAAAGGAGTGAAAGATCAACGAAGTTATTTAAATAAAGAATGTTCTTTTAATGTACAGCAAAATTGAAATCGCAAATTGTAAGCAGTTTCTTAAGATGTAAAATTTCTGCGTAATGTATGTAGCTTTACAGTAAAAAATGAACTTTTATAATTTGTATTTTAAAGAATAGCTTTAATTAAAAGTTACGGTTCTGTGTATTTGGAAATTATTATAAAAATTTACGTATCATGTTTTTGACTACACAATTCTGAAAAACTATTTCTCTTATATCTATTATAACTATTATTTCTCTCAATTTTGTTAATTATATTAATAGAAAAAATCTTCCATAATTTGCTCCTTGTCAGTGGTCCGTTGATATTGATATCGCCGAGACATCATTCGTGAATTTGTGCAAATTATTACTACATCGAGAAATTATTGCTATCTTGAGATAGCAAGATCCATTTTTTTTTTGCATAATTGATATTCGCGAGAACACACGCAACATAACGGCGTTATTGTCGCCGGAAAAAAAATTTTTCGCATCTAGTTGTATCATGTTCGAAAAGTTCCCAGTATATTTTTTATTGCATTTCTTAATCGGAAAATTTTCAGATCAACCTGGACACACGAAATAATATTACAATTATTATTTTTAATATATAAGTAAAATAACATATACTACATGAAAAATCTGTACAAAAAAACTGTTTTATTCATTTGTCGGATTTGTTTTAAACACTGATACATTTGAAATAAATTCGAATGAATAATGTATTTTAGTATATTTACTTATTATCATAATATTTACTTATTATCATAATAATAATAATAATCTATTATGATATAGACTAGCTATGTTAAATAAGAAATAAATTCTGATTATCGTAATAATAAGGAAACACAACAACCAGAGTATGTTCACAAAATTTTTGATATGCAT